TGGAAACCCTGTGGGGCAGGTCCACTCTGCTCTCTAGGGGCGCTGTGAGTCCTTTGCAACTAGTTGAGTTTTCACTTTATAAATTCACAGGCCTCAGAGCACCCCTAGGAGGTCTCTTGCGCCCCCCCACGCCTTCTCATGTAACTGTCCTCCCCCAATCAAGGAAGAGAACTCAGGGAATTTTCCTCTCCTTGAAATGGCGACCCCGGGATTCGGTGGCCCTCAGAGGGCATGGTGGCTGCACCTCGACTCTGACGGCGCTCAGCCCAGTCTGCTGCTGCTTTGTCACTTTCTGTGCCTGGAACCACACCTGCTCCGCCCCCTGGCCCTACAGACCTGCGAGGCCCACCCCCGGCCTCGCGCGCGCTGCGGCCCCGCCCCGAGGGCACCGCCTCGGGGGCGGAGCTCAGTGGAGGCCACGCCCCTTACCAGCGGCTCCCGCCCCGCGCGGCCTCTTCCGCCGGCCTCACACGCCGCGCGCTCGGGTTGCTGAGGCGCCGGCTGCAGCCCGCCTCGTCACCGGCTTGTGACCCCGCCGTCCCGGCGCCCGGAGCCGGCCCCGTGGTGTCACCTCTGCTTCCACGGGGAGCCTCGGCCGCGCCCCACCTTTGGGAGCCCGGCCCCCATGGAGGCGCCCCCGTCGGCTAAGGCGGCCCAGCGAACACTGGCCAGGGGCCCGCGACGGCAAACCGTGAGGGGCAGCTCTGGCGGGACGCCGCGCCCCTCTACCGGCTTCAGGACTTCCACAGGCTGGGCACTGTTGTGGGTTCAGAAGAAATGGATGCCCACTATAATGTCCAGAATCTGGCAGAGTCTTTATTCGGCTGTAGCCTGCTGCAGGGGACTGAAGCGTTCTCCTCAACGGCAGCTGCGGGCCTGGTTTCCGGCAGGCTTCTAAAGCCCAAAACTGCAAGCAGGCAAGCGAGCTGTTAGAGAAGCGATAAACTGCCAGGTTAGTGTTTGTTGTTGTTGTTGTTGTTGTTATGTGCCGTCGAGTCGGCCCCGACTCATAGGTTAGTGTTTAGGGAAGATGAATGGTCAGCCCGCTATCAGAGCGGAAACAGCCCGGGGTGAGGGTCCTCAATTCTGAGAATTTCTGTTGGCAGGATGTGGGCTCTCGATTCTGGGAATTACTGCTAACAGGGCTTTCAGGAAAAGGAAGGGGTGAGTGGGTTTCTCAGGGGTGTTTGGTTTAGGGAGCTACTGGGCTCTCTGAGAAGGGCGCGGAGAAGTACAAATGCTGTTATGCTGGAGTGCTTGCGAAATGGACTTTGCTGCAAAGTGGAGTTTTAACAAATCACTACAAAATAGTCATCTACTTCAGCCATTGTGGCTGAGGCGCGCTGACCTACTGATGGAGCGCCCCGGGGCCACCGCCGCTGGGTCCCGGGTAGGAGCCTGGGGGGGGGTGCCCCTGAAAGTCGGGGGGCCCCTCCCCCGGCACCGCGACTCTCCGGGATCCCCCTTCACACCCCCATTACGGGCCGCCCGACGTCACAACACTTCCTGGGTCACCCACACGGGACTCTACCAGGCGGGGACCCCCAGCGACGAGAGGCACTGGCTCCCAAATGGTCTGCAGCCCTCACCCGTTCGTCGGCGCCTGGGCGTGGAGTTCGCAGCCGGGACGGAGGTGCAGGAGCCGCCGGGCTCGGCGGGGGACAGGGGTCCCGGGGCGTTTTCGGGGTGGTGGAGGTTGGGGTGAATTCCCCATTTCCTGGCCTGGCTGCGTGTTTCATCTTCCTGGACACTTAGAATTCTGTTCTTAGACACTTGCCATTTGTTTTGTGACCTGGCTGTCAACCTGACCCAGCTGGGCAGCTTGAAGTCTGTGTCAAGGTCTCTTTGGGCATTTGGTTCCCTAAACATGTCCGGAGTGGGTCAGGAAATCCTAACCAGTGTGGGATTTACACACAGGGTAGAAGCGAGCAAGTGGCTGCTGCTTTTTTTCTTTTTTTTTAACATTGTGATTTGGGTGAAAATTTACAAGCAAATTCACTTTCCATACAGCAGTTCACATACACTTTGTCTCATAACATTGATTACAGTTTCCCAAAATGCAACATTCCCCTCCCACTTTCTGCCCATAGTTACCTCTATCCCTGTGTCCATCCCTCCCTTGCACTCCTGCCCACTGAACTGTCCCCTGTGCATACACAGCCCTTCTTTCTCCCATGATGTTCTCTCCAAGGCGTGTATCTACCTCAGGTAAATGTTCAACTCATATGCCTGTCTTTTGTTTGGCTGGAAACCACAGGTGTGGGTTCATTTCCAGACCTGAAGGGCAGCTAGGAGCCATAGTCCCTTGTTGTGGGAGCTCTGGTAGCATAGTGCCTAAGGCACTTGACTGCTACCCAGAAGGCTGGCGGTTCAAACCCACCAGCCAATCCTCAGAAGGAAGGTTGGGTAACCTACTTCCATCGTGATACCACCTCAGAAATCCAAGGAGGGGTCGCTATGAGTTGGGTCCAACTCAGCGTCACATAACAACAACTTGTTTTTAAAATTAAGGCAGAACACATAAAATATGGGGTGCAGTGAATCACTGATGGTCCTTCTAGCCAACTCTTTGTGACTCCTACATAAAGATTGAGTGGAACTATGGGTGGCATGTAATGTATTGAGTACCCCCAGAAATGTGTCAACTCGGTAGGCATGACGTGTGGCCAAGGACATGAACTTTTGGAGGCCAGAGGTTGGAGAGAGGGTATATATGACCTGCATTTTATAGGGTTCAGCTTTGGGGCAGTGCTGTTGATCTTCATTCTCATTCCCCTTATGAAGTAAGAGGAATTCAGACATTGACATACCACACACCATTTTTGCAGTTGGTGTCAGAAGTGGGACTTGTTGCAAGAGCTTCAAACTCATGGAAGCATGAGAAAGAAGGAAGAGGCATAGGAAGTGAAACTTTTGATCATTGGATGGTTACTCTGGTGGTTGTATGTGTATGAGTATGTGCATGGTGAATGTATCTGAGTGTATATGAGTGAATGTGTTTGTGGTGTGAGTTTATGTATGCAGTCATTTGTGTCATATGAGTGTACTGTGTGCTTGTGTATATTAATATGGTGTGTGGAGTGAGTGTGGTGTGTTTGTGTGAGCACAGTAGAAGTGTATACACAAGTGTGTATCGCTCAGGAAATGCTAGTCCCAGGCACAGTGGGTGAAACCCTGAGCTGCCATACCCTGCAGCCCCGTGCTGACCTCACTGCCTCGTCTGTGTCCCTGACAGCTGTTCTTGCTCCCTGCAGGCACAGGCACATTTTGTCAGGTGCACCTGGTTTGTGAGAAGATGGCCAAATGCTTTTTTTGTGCTCAAGGTGATGTCATCTGCCTGAAGCAGGAGCAGCACGTTCCCCATGAGTTGTCCTGGAGGAAGTCAGCTATGCCTTCATCTGGCTGTGAGTCCCTCTGGGTCCCCCTGCCTTTTCCTCCTCCTTTCCCTCCACACTTGACACAGAGTACATGGAACAGGGTCATGGCAGTGTTGTGGGTTGAATCATGTTCTCCAAAACACATGTTTGCGTCCTAACCCCCATACTGGTGGATGGTGATCCCTGGGAGGTGTAACGTGACCAGCTAACTGAAAGGTTGGCAATTTGAGTCTACTCAGAAGTGCCTCAGAAGTAAAGCCTGGCAATCTGCTTCTAAAAGGTCACAGCCATGAAAACTCTATGGAGCACGGTTCTCTGACACATACGGGGTCCCCATGAGTCAGAGTAGACTCCACAGCAGCTGGTGGATAGTTAAAATAGTTCATGTGCTCAGCTACTGTGGTGTAGAAAATTACTTTGTGTGGCTTTTCTACCCATAAGTCTTTGTAAACTCCAAGGTGGGATTTTTCTATGAGCAACCGAGGAGCACCTGATTGCTGAAGTTGTCCACCTGGAGTATTTCTGTTGGGAGTGGCACAAAACAATGTTCTTGGAGGTGCCCACTCTCTCTCAGGTGCTTAGAGTTCTAATGCTATGATTAGCTAGTTTGACCACCCTGCCGGGCTCAAAAGGAAGCTTCCTAGGGGCAGAACTCTCTCTCTGACTGCTGGTTGAGGAAGACATACTGCCGAAAGAGACATGCACCCCTGAAAGAGACATGTGCTGCTGGGAAAGAGACGCAAGAGACATGCATTGCTGAGTGAGACACCGAGGGACCAGCACTGCTGGGAAAGAGACTGTGAGAGACTGTTGGCTGAGGGACGGTGGGCTGGGAGAGAGACTGAGCGTTCTTCCTGAACTTGAGTTGTAGCCTGATGCTTCCCTAATAAACTCTGTAATCTGTGAGTTCTGTGTGGCCACTGCAGCGAATTATCGAACCCAGGAGAGAGGTGGTGGGTGCTTTGAGAGGAACGGTTGGAGAAAGGGCTGGAGAGAGGCAGCATGTCTGACCTGGCAGGAATAGGCCTTGAGTTACTGCTGGTAATCCTGTCTTCCTCTTGCGGGATTAGAGGAGGTCAGAATATGTGTCCTCCCTGCCCTTTTTGCAGCTACTCACTGAGGTTGGTGAGTCAGGTCTAGCCAGAAGTATGTCAGAAGAAAGGCCTGGTGGTCTGCTTCTGTAAGATCACATCCATGAACACCCGAGAGTGCAGTTCTACTCTGCACCCAAGGGGTTGCCATGAGTAGGAGTTGACTGCCCAGCTACTAACAGTCACCACCACAATCCTTGTGTTTGTGTTCTTATTTGGGAACAGGGGTTTCTTTGTTATGTTAATGAAATTCTGCTGTGTGGGGTGGGTCCTAAACCTCATCACTTCTGAGACATAAAAGGGGCAGACACGCACAGGGGAAGACAGGCACTATCTGAACACGGAACGACTACTGGTTACTAGAAGGTGAACTAGATCAGGTCATGATGATCCATAGGGTTTTCACTGATGGATTTTCAGAACAGATCTCTAGGTCTCTCTTTGTAATCTTAGTCTGGAAGCTCTGCTGAAACTTGTTCATCATTTTGACAACACACAAGCCTCCGCTGACAGATGGGGGGTGGCCGCGCATGAGGTGCACTGTCTGGCAATCGAACTCGGGTCTCTTGCGTGGGAGGAAAGAACTCTACCACTGAGCCACCACTGTAGTTACTCCTGTTCTGTGAAATAAGAGAGTCATCTGGGGAGAGGAATTTATTCTCGTGAAGTTTTAACAAAATGTTCCACAGCATGTGTGGATTCCTCTAGAGTAGTGTGTGGCTGTGATGTTCTCATGTGTTTTCAGCACAATGTCATTGTCTTTTTCTAACTACAAGAAGTTCCTAACTTACAAAATGGTGCATGACAAATGGTATTTTTTAAGTTAATTTTTCCATCCAGTATACTCTCCTATGGAAGCACAAAGGGCTTAGTGGCTAGATTCCTGTTTGCCTCTGAGAACCAACTGAGTCCATTCTGACTCA